CCTGGAGGCTGTGGGGGTCTGGATGGGGAACCACAGGCTTCAGCTGAACCCTGGTAAGATGAAGTGGCTGCGGATTGGAGGCTCCTCTGTATCTGAGAATTTACCATCTTTGCTTTCGGATGGGGTTGCACTGCCCCAGACAGACCCAGTGCATAATCTGGGGGTCCTCCTGGATTCATGACTCCTGCCTGAGGAGGAGGTAGCAGTCGTGGCCAGGAGGGCCTTTGCTCAACTTCATGTTGTGCGCCAGTTACTCCCCTTCCTGGATCAGGAGGCCCACCGGTCTGTCACTCACGCCCTGGTCATTTCTCAGTTAGACCATTGCCAGGCACTCTACATGGGGCTACCCTTGAAGAGTATCTGGAAGCTACAGCTGGTTCAAAATGTGGCCACACGGACAATCTTGGGTGCCCCAAGGATGGCACATGTAACACCTTTGCTGCAGGGGCTGCACTGGGTTTCAGTTTCTTTCTGGGTCCAATTCAAGGTGTTGGTTATCACCTTTAAAGCCCTACATGGCATGGGTCCAGGTTACCTGAGGGACCGTCTCACCCACATTACGTCAACCTGTCCCACCTGGTCCAGCAGAGAAGGCATGTTGCGGATCCCGTTGGTGAGAGAATGTCAACCGGCGGGTCCCAGGAGGAGAGCCTTCTCTGCCATGGCCCCCGCTCTATGGAATACTCTCCCCCCAGAGGTGAGGCAGGCCCCTATCCTCCCAATTTTCCGGAGGGAATTGAAGAGTTGGCTCTGCCAGCTTGTGTGGGGCAAGAAGAGATACAACTGATCCTGGGGATGGCTGGTGCCTTGAAGACTCTCCCTGAGTTTATTAACACATAATTAACATCAGCCTCTTGGAAGTATTATATAGGAAGTTTGTTATTGTAATATATGTTAATTAATTAATTAATATTAATCTATTTTAATTCATGTTTATTCTGTTTTTGCTGTAAACCTCCCAGAGTCACTCTGTAGTGAGATGGGCAGTGACAAATTTGAAATATTAAACAAACAAACAAACAAACAAATAAATAAATGATGTCTAGAGCATCACTGGTGCTTGATGAGGGACAAACCTGACTGAACATGGGTCAGAGCTGCTATTAAGGCCTAATAGTAATGGCAGTGAAGCTTAATTACTTCTCCGCTCTTATTGAGTCCTCAGATAGCCACCCCACGGCCCTGTTTCAGGTGACACGAGCCCTCCTGGGTAAAGGGGGCTTGGAGAACCTCTTGCAGGGGTGTGTGGAGGAATTTGCTCAGCATCTGTTGGACAAAGTCATTCGGATTTGTTCGCAGTTGGACACTGCAGGTCTGGTAGAGATGCCTAGGAAGGAGTCTTGTCCTGTTATCTGGACACCTGTTAGACCTGAGGAAGGGGACAGGGTCCTCAGGAGCTTGGCCACCTGCTCTTTAGATCCATGCCCCTCCTGGCTGGTTGAAGTGGCCTGGGAGGTGCCGTGTGAGTGGGTTTGGGCAATGGTGAATTCTTCTTTGAGTGAGGGGGTTATTCCTTCACCTCTTAAGGAGGCCATGGTTCACCCCCTCCTCAAGAAGCCATCGCTAGACCCCACTATACTGGATTGAATCTCCCCTTCTTGGGGAAGGTGGTTGAGAAGGTGGTTGCGCAACAGCTTCAGAGGACCTTGGATGAAGCGGATTATCTGGATCCCTTTCAGTCAGGGTTCAGACCTGGGTGTGGTATGGAAACAGCAGCATTGGTTGCACTTTTGGCTGGTCTCGGGCGTGGAAGGGATGGAGGTTGTGCGTCCATCCTTGCCTTACTTGACCTCTCAGTGGTTTTCAATACCATCAACCTTGGTATCCTTCTGGAGCAGCTCAGAGGATTGGGGGTGGGCCGCATGGGGTTGTGCTAGTTAACTTCCTTTCTCTGGGGCCAATTCCAATTTGTGGTAGTTGGGGAGAAGAGATCCTACCCTTGGCCCCTACTATGTGGGGTACCACAGGGTTACGAACACACTATGCTTATGAACGTGGAGATTCAGGAAATTAAGCAGATAAGTATGAATTAAAGATGAACCTTTAAAAGATGTTTCTTTAAAGGCTTAAAGAGGGAAGTATTGGAAAGTAATTATTAGGAAGCTAAACTAATGACATTTTTGAAGAGAAGTCAATGCTTTGCCATTATACAGAAGTGAGAGAGTGAGTCATGTAGGCAGATAAGAAAGGAATGAGAAGAAACTATTATGCTGTAGTAGCAGAGAAAAGATGTGCCAGTTAGAACAGTGAGAAACAGGCCATATTAGGAAAGTAAAACTTGAAGATTTTAGAATTAAGCACGTGCAACCTGGTTGTTTATACCTGACTATAAAATGGAATCACATCCCTTGCACTAGGCCGGGGCCAGGCTCAGCGCTCTTGCCTTGTGTGCTAATAGATTTTTGAACTCTGATTTATGGCAATCTGGTGTTTGACCTGAGCAGGGAATGAATCACAGAGAAGAAATTTCTTCTAACAGCTCTTACCTTCCCTTGTTGGAAAACAAAACTGTTGAGCCCCTTCACACAGAGATCTTGGACCACGGGATTGTGTGCTGCCAAGCCCTCCTCCAGATGGTCCTTGAGGCTGAATCTGTTCATCATCTTGATGGCAGATGGACTTTTAAGAAACTGAAGAGGCAAAAGGCAACAGAGATCAGCCCTGTGACGTTTCTGTACTAGCAAATGATCGTGCATCGGACAGAAGGGCTGAAGGCCATGAACAGGCTCTGGGATATGGGAGGACATGTGTGTGAACAATGGGGCAGCTTGAACAAGCTCAGCTGGAGGCAGCATCTTCCACAAAGCCCAACCTTGTTTGGTGGCGTGAAGATGAGAGACAGCCTCTGAGGCGAGAGGTCTCACCTCAATCACGAGAGCCAAGGCCGTCATCTTCTTCAGCTCGTCCTCCTCACTGCTGAGAATGAGAGCAGCCTCCCCAAAGACTCCTGGGATTTGGGCACTGTTGCACTCCGTCATGGCCCTGCGTGATGGAACAGTGAAGTCAAAGGGGCGAGGATCCTCTTGGCAAACATGTTGAGGGCAGCGCTTAGGCAGAGGCAGAGGGCTGCCAGGAGAGCTGCCTGGGCCCCTCCATCAGGTGTCTCTTTCAGGAGCAAGCCACCCTCGAGGCACTCCCCTGGCACCGGAGGGCTTCGCTTGGCTGCTTCCCCTTAGCAAAGAAGCCGGGAGAGAGGGACGCTGCCCTTCTGCCCTGGCTTCCTGGTTGCCCTGGTTGCCCTGTTGTCACAAGGGAGCCGGGGGGGGGGCCCAAGGGGACCTCACATGCCCTGTCCCCCCAGACAGCCTCCGAGCTGCTCGGTAGGAAGAAGGACAGAAAAGGGGTGCTTTCCAAAGGGCAGCCCAACCTCATTTTCGGCTCACTTTCTCATTCCTCACAATTGGGCTGATTCAAATTGATCCCTTGCCCCAGAAAAGAAGGTTCCCCGCCCCCCTCCTGGAGAAAGGGTCTGGCCCCAGAGTCTTTCCCAGAGGTTGGGCCTAGGCAGAGAGGGAGGGCCACCACCATGCTGGTGTCTCTCTCCCCTTGACACCTGGCGTCGCAGCATAGGACCCCGATAGAGAAAGGGGAGTGGCGGGGGGGGTGGGGAGGGGGGGAGGGGGGGAAAACTGTGCTGAACCATCCGGGGGGGGCGGGGGGAAGGGACTTACGGCCAGGCCTCTTACCGTGCCAGCAGACGTGTGCCCTGCAAAAAGTGCTGGGGGGTGCTAAGCACCCTCCATCCTTGCTGGAACTCAATGCAGGCATAGACTGCCCAGTCCCCGGTGACCGAGAACAGATTCTTCACAATCTCCACCGAAGTGCTATAAATGGAAAGTAGAAGTCACCTGCGCCGTCCTCCTCTTGTGCTGTGCCTGCCCTTTCCAGGGCCAAAGCGGCCCTTCTGCCCCCCCTTTTCAGAAGCAGTTTAGGTTCCACCCAGGGGGGAGGCTCAGCCTGGGAATGGGGTTCCTCGGTTGCCATTCAGGTGGGGGCTGCCGGGAGGTGTTTGTGGGGCTAGCAGGCCCGAAGCCAGGCTTCCCACACCTTTGCTGAGCTCCACTCGCCTGTTGGACAGCGCCGCCAGAGCCACAGCAGAAAGCCCATGGGCGGGGGTTGACCTTGGAATGGCCCTACTGGGGGGGGCATCACTTAGGAGTCACTCTTGGTGGGGAAGAGGCTGCTGAGAAGGGGCTTTCGTTGTGCAAACAGAATTGTATACAGGCCCAGACTTCAGGGAATTGGGCTGGCTGGAGTTTGACAGGAAGACCTTCCTGGGGCCTTTCATCTGCCGCTGACCATTCTGACTCCTGTCTGCAGGTGACTTTAGCCAATGTCCTGGACTGGGAATCGAAGCCACTCAGGGTCTAGGGGCTTAGGTTTAAGCCAAGCCTGGGAAAGGGGCACTAGAGAAGGTCGGGAGGGTGGGGGTAGGTTAATTGCTGTCCACGTGTCTCTACCTCTGAGATATTTTTAAAAGGAGATCTGATGGCCTGTCCTACCTGGCAAGGTTGCAAGTGCAGACCTTTTAGCTGGCAGGGTGAGGATCGGCCCCCTTAGTTTCTTGCCTATTTTTCAGACCAGCCAGACAAAGCTGTGACCCCTGGCTTCCCTTTCCAGCCACAACATGGTCAACGTTTTAGCCTTCCTTACTGCCTAGGCTATCCATTCTCCTTTTTTAGACAAGAAGCTGCTAAGAATCCTAACATTTGGCTTTTAATTGTTAGATGGTTTTAGTATTGATGTTATGATCAATTTACAACTGTAGTTTTATCTTTTTATATTCTGTTTTCGTTTTTCATTTCAGTCGCCATCAGCCCACCAGGGCGAAAAGGCAGGGTAAAAATCACATTTATATATTCATTTATTTATATATCAGATTTGTCACTGCCTATCTCATTAAAAAGTGATGCTGGGCGGTTTACAGAGAAGATAAAATCAATTAAAATACAATATAAAAACAGTCTTAAATAAATAAATAAATTCTAAGAAATGATGGAATTGGCACGTAGCTCGGGGAGCATCATCAGGGCACCAGCCACCCCAGGATTGATTAGGGTTCTTACTGCCCCACGCAAGCTGGCAGAGCCAGGTCTTTAGCCCTTTCTGGAAAGCCAGGAGGGTAGCGGCCTGTGCACCTCTGTGGGGAGAATATTCCAAAGGTCAAGGGCAACAGCAGAGAAGGCTCCCCTCCTGGGCCCTGCCAGCTGACATTCTCTTGCTGATGGGGTCTGCAGCATACCCTCCCTGCCTGATTGGGTGGGACGGGTTGATGTGATGGGGGTGAGACGGTCCCTCAGGGAACCCAGTCCCATGCCATGTAGAAAGAAGGCAGCTGCCCTATTTCCCTTTCCCTTCCTCCCCCTGCACTTCTGCAGCCAGACCCCTCGCAGCCACTGGGCCCCCCCTTCCGTATCCTTCAACTACCTGGCCAGAAGGGGACAAGGTATTCCAAATGTACAATCATCAGCTTAGAAGGACCTGGGATTCTCCTACAGCTTGGAACCAGATGCCCTGCTGTCCTTTGGCCTGATGCTGCATTTTGTAATGAATTGATTTAATTGATTTACCAGTTTCATCCTGTTGAACCTGAGGAAGTGAACAGGGTTTAAAGGTGATAACCAACACCTTGAATTGGACCCGGAAGCAAACTGGGACCCAATGCAGCTCACGTAGCAACGGTGTAACGTGTGCCATCCTTGGGGCACCTAAAATTGCCTGCATGGCTGCATTTTGAACCAGCTGAAGCTTCCGGATACTTTTCAAGGGTAGCCCCATGTAGAGCGCATTGCAACAGTCTATACGGAAGATGACCAGGGCGCCTGCATGGCTGCATTTTGAACCAGCTGAAGCTTCCGGATACTTTTCAAGGGTAGCCCCATGTAGAGCGCATTGCAACAGTCTATACGGAAGATGACCAGGGCATGAGTGACTGACCGGAGAGACTCCCGATCCAGAAAAGGATGTAACTGGTGCACAACACGTAGTTGAGCAAAGGACCTCCTGGCCATGACTGCCACCTGCTCTTTGAGCAGGAGTCATGAGTCCAGGAGGACCTCCAGGTTACGCACCGGGTCTGTCTGGGGTAGTGTGACCTCATCCAGAACCAAAGATGATAAACTTCTGGATACAGAGGAGCCCCCAGCCCACAGCCACTCCGTCTTACCAGGGTTCAGCTGAAGCCTGTTGTTCCCCATCCAGACCCCCACAGTCTCCAGGCACTGTGAAAAGGTAGCCACAGCCTCAAATCACCTGGGATGGAGATGTATAACTGGGTATCATCTACATATTGATGATATCTCATCCCATGGTGGCGGATGATCTCACCCAGTGGTTTCATGTAGATGTTACAAAGGAGCAGGGAAAGTACAGAACCCTGTGGTACCCCACAAAGGAGGGGCCGTGGGCTGGACCTCTCGTTCCCTATCAACACCGAGTGGGACCAGCCTTGGAGGAAGGAAGAGAACCAGCACAAAACTGTGCCACCCACTCCCAACTCCCCAAGCCGACCCAAAAGGATACCGTGGCTGACGGTATCAAAAGCCACTGAGAGGTCAAGAAGAGCAAGGATGGATGCACTACTGCCCTCCCGCTCCCACCAGAGATCATCCAAGAGTGCAACCAATGCTCTTTCCATCCCATATCCAGGCCTGAAACCTGACTGAAAAGGGTCCAGATAATCTGTTTCCCCCGGGATCCTCTGGAGCTGCAACGCCCCACCCTTCACAACCAACTTCCCTAAAAAGGGGAGGTGGGGGACTGGATG